GCTGTGAATTCCTCCTCGGATAAAGCACTCCGGCACGACGCTCGGCTAAGCTCCTGTCACTCTCCGCTCCCTTTGATATGCCGTCTGCCTCCTCTTGGGGGTGCCGGGCCCGGGCCGGGCCTCCTCTGATCCAAACCCATGTCCCCATCAGCTCTGGCTCATATGAAGGTTCTGAATGAGGCCCACTTACCCCCCCAGGTACCAGCCTAGTCGCCTCACCACCTTGGGGCTCAATACCCAATCGCTTGGGCTTTCTCACAGCCTCCCGGTCCATAAATGTACCATTCAGGGCTACCGGCGACCGAATCGTCTTCCATGCTCCCAGCACTGGACTGGCACCTCATAGGTCACCTACAAGCAAGGATATACAGCTGAAGTGCATTTCAATGTAACAACAGCATGAAAATGTATCCTGATGCCGTGTATTGCGATTTCTGCCCAGCAAGCCGTACAAACTGGATGTTCAGAGGGAGCAATCTGACCCTGATAATTTTTATTAATAATTGGCAAATAATGACAGGAAGCTAAGGCCTAAATCTCATTTATGCGTAAATCCCAGTGCACCCAGAGGACAGAACACGGCCGTCGACTTCCTTTTAAACGAGCATCAGTTAGGTCAGACTGTTCCTGCACTCTTCTGCCAAATAATGCTATATATAAAACAAATAAAGGCTAGCAGTCAGGGAACGGGCCGAAACGAGGCCGCTTTTACCCGATAAGTTCGTTTTAGAAACAACTTTATCTGTTCCGGAGCTCTTGCACTTTTCTCTGTTAACACATGTCAAGTCCTGATTTAATGCACAGTGTAAATCCCTATCCCACTTTCCAGTAAGGCTGCAGGATGACAGTGCTTACAGAAACTCCACCGGTTAAAAGAAGCTCGATATTACAGGCTGTCTGCCCTAATAGTGCGCAGATGTTAAACGAATCTTTTAACTGCACAGAAAGAGTTAGTGGCGCCGTGCGTTTCATTAAGTGCTCGAAGAAGACTTTGGCTGTGTGTTTGTGTATGTAGGGCTGTTTATTTACTGTAGCTAATTTTTACATACATATACATTTATATGTGGCTTGTGTTTTACTCTGTGATGGACTGGCATCCCATTCAGGGTTTGCCTTGTACCCTGTACTTCTTGGGATAGGATGGACAGATGAATGGATGGACAGTTTTTTTGGGCTGTGTCATATATGAGATTTTATGATAACATGGAACAAGCCTTAAATACCATGTAAATAGCCGTGCTCAGCCTGTTGTTTGACACTGGAAACTCCTGATAATAAGTAAATCCCACTGCTTGTTTAGTCTCCTTCTTTTTTCCCAAGTAGAAGGGAGTCATCTCACCTCTCCAAGCTGGAAGTTTTTTCAAACAATATTTTTGTCTAATGTTCGCAGCGATCGGCACCCGCTAATAGCGTATGACAGAGCTCCCCGTTCAGCGGCGAAGTCTGAATTTCAATGCCCCAGTAATTAAGTTCATCAGGAGAGCCATTTCCGCCTGCGCTCACTGTCGATGAATATTCAATGGAACCCTGCTCACCGTGAAATTGTCACGGCACGGCATTATTGATTTCTGATAAATAAACGAGTGCACGGACAGAGTTCGCCCCCCGCCGTGATTGTGTTTTGGGAGTCCTGCGGTAAATTGATCAGATGCGGATTAAGCTCTCAATCGAGTTAAAGTGGCATCCTTTGTGCAGCGTCACTCTGCAGGAGTGCACAGCTGTTTATGTAAACGACACGCCGTGCTCACGATTTGCACCTGGTTTTGTTCGGTAGGCGAACGGAAGTTTCTGGTTTCCAGTTCTGCGAAACAAAACCTACAGTCATCAGATCTGTACAGAGAGAAGCTCAGGCCGACTGGGGCAGGGGGGGCTAGATGGGGGCCGAGTGGAGCTGGGACAGACTAAACAAAAATGCGAACGAAAACCAATTAATCATTTTGCTTCTCATTTTAGCAACAAGACAAAAGGACATCCAGTGGTTGTGAACCGCTTCTACGCTATTGACCATGCTAATGTATACAAGCTAACATTTTTCTGCTTTACCTCTTGATAAAAGAGTAAACAAGTCAAGTTAATTTTATTTGTAGAGCACGTTTAAAACAACAGCAGTTGACCAGAATGCTGTACAATTTCCATAAGCAGACAAATAAATACATACAATAAACAGACTAAAACAAACAACAAACACCTCTGCGCTTAAGCCTCGACATCTGCACAGCCAGCGATATCAGGTCAAAGGACTTAAGTGACTGGGAGGAAGAAGAAGAGTATTAGAGATCAGCAAGATACAGTAAGAGCAAGCTAAACCATTAAAGACTTAAACAATAAAATTTTATAATTGATCCTGTAGCGGACATGAAGCAGTGAAGAGATATGATTACACCAGCGATTTCACCCAGACCCTTGAAAAACTCTACTGTTAATCAGTATTTACATGTATGAATTCACAGAATCACTGTCAACTGATATAACTTGTTATACAAGATATTTTAGGTTCATATGTTCTAATTCTCCGTTATTTGGCATGTGAGACAAATAGCTGAGATGGTTGTAGGTCTATTCAATTGCTCAGAAATTACCAAGCACACACCTTTCCTCTGACAGGGGGTGCTTAGGGGTAATAGATACCCAGCTCTCACTGTCCGGTCACCCGCGGGGGGCACCGTCTCCTAGTCATTCTGTCAGTCGGGGGAACGTACAAATTAAACAATTATCTGGTAAGTGGTGTCGCGCGCCGTGCCATTAATTTATTTTTAACATCTGTTGCACCAAAATAACAATTTGAAAGAAATCGAATAAATCATGAGTAAAAGGCCACTCTCATCTGTGCAACACTGGGCAATTTGCCAACCTTGGCTTTAAGTCCAAACATGTTTCCTTCCTACATGGAGCTCCAAGGGCAAGCAGAATATCAGATGAACTTGCAGTGATCTCCTCTGAAGTAGACGGCCAACCTGTACAGGTAACACACTGACTTAACCTTTTGTTTACAAAAACACACGCATCTCCCGATCGATGGATTCAGACCTGCCTTAATTAGAGCGTGACAATCTATCAGAGCCCAGGGCCCCTTTCCCCCGAAATCACCCTCATCGTGGAGATGTGAAGATGAACACCCAGACGTTCCATAACAAAACTGTACGCAGGCAAAAAGACTCACGACCTATTTTATGCAACATCTGACTGTGTTTCTCTCCCCTGTGCTGAAGCTAAACTTAATTCTGATTGCGGCTGATGACTCGAAACTTTATTCGCGCAATGATCAAATGTCATCACACAAAGGAACACCTACCGGCAGGAAATGTACTTTGATGAGGGAAAAAAAAAAAACAAGATTAACTGTACTGGGAATTAATCACATTTACATGATTTTTAAAAAGTGTGCTTTCTTGTATTATGTCGCATTTACCGATGCACCACTGGTGTGTCACGACAACACTGAGAATGTGGTGAGAATTATTTGTCGAGCATAAGAAAAGTTCTCCAGGTCTCACAGCTGTATATTTTGACTTCAGAGAGCTTGATTAAAAACCTTCTCAAGGGTGCAACAGCAATAGTTCTCCCAGGGCCCAGCTCTACAAGCAAGACTGCCATTCAGCGCAGTGCCAGGAGTGCCATTGATCATGAAGTGTATTTAACATTGATTCAGAAGTATGACCGCGATCTTTCCACAAAGAAAATGAAGTGTGTAAGTGACCGGGGTTGTTCGTGTCAGATTGTTTAACCTATTCTTTAAGAGGGCAACCTGGTCGATAAACCGCTAGTTTTCCTTAACCTTCCCGTGATTTCATTTGCCGTTCCTATCCGACTCCTTCCCACCCCTTGCAAAACCTTTCTTCCCCAGTCACTACCATTTACAAGTGGCAGAATGGAGCCTTATTATAAAATGGTAGCCCCACCTCTTGCAAAACCCTTCTTCCTCATTCCAGGTCTTGTGCACCTCGTGCCCTTCAGGGAGACCTTTGAATCTTCTCTTGATACCCTCACCCAGGATGAATATATTGCCTCATGTAACCAACAATCAAAATGACAGACGCCGGGAAACTTCAAGATGCTGTCTGTTCACTGGGGTCACAGAGGTTCAACTTACCCATTAACACACGAGTCTGCAAAAGCGCATCAATCATTCTGTCCCCCCCCCCTGCCACTGACCCCAGGTGACTCTTCACACCCCTCCAGGACCTGCATTCTCCATGAAACCCCTGGCCACCTTTTATCCAGCCTGGACCATCTCCTTTAACCTGAATGTTCTTTCAAACTGAGCATGTGCCAGGTGACAGGATGAGCTCGATCATTTCAGAAAAAGATACAGGACTTGTAGTATTGACAGCATATTATAATTATGCGGAGTGAATTATGTTATTTTCAGGGGTATTGTCATACTGCAGTACGTTATATAATAAATATGTAAAACTTATTTCAAAGTCAACAACCATTAGACGCGGCTTTGATTGCTGGTATAGAGACCAAGTAAATTCATCAGCATGGAGAGCGTCTGACTTTTTCTTTGTGTAAGGCATCCTTAGATCTCACAGGTTCATTTTCACCGAATTGTCTAAAATGTCACCATTCCGTTGCCTGAAGACATTCAAAAAAAACTTATGCATGATGGCAAAACATTAAGAACAGCAATGCTTGTCTTTGGATAACATCTGCAGTAATCTACAAGGGACCAGTGCCGCGATGGCAAATAAAATGTTCCCATTTCCTTAGCTGACACTTTTATCAAAAGTGACATACAATTTAGAATGCAGTGTCAGCCGGTCCCTGGATAAACTGGGGTTAGGGGCCTCGCTCAGGGGCCCGAAGGTGAAATCGCTCTGCCAACCACAGGATTTGAATTGGCAACCTTCCGGTCTTAACCTGCAGAATCACACTCTGTGCTGTTTGTACCTCAGTTAGGTTAATGGAGACATACGTATCAGGCAGAACTGAAGCCTTTTTACGGATGCGTACGGGGAAGCAGCACAGAAACCGTGAAGTCAAGCAAAACGGGGGTTTATTCAGGAAAAATACCAAAACACAGGACACAATGCAAGCACGGACACCAATGACAGGGCAGGGGTAAGACAGACGCGGAAGCATTAAATACCAGAACTGATTAACAACAACTAGACACAGCTGAAAACACTGGGATTCCACACGAGGTAACAAGGGGGCGTGGCACACAGGAGGATCAGACGAGCAGGTCATGACAAAGCCAGACTGCTGCAGAAGACTCAAGTCGTCTCTGTCCGTGTTCCTCGATCCCTCTAATAGGCCAGCAGGAACATTCAGTCGCCACCGTGCTCATCAAATTGTCCTTCCTCTTCATTCACACAACCCTGCAAGCACAAAGAAATGAAACATCTCTTAATTAATCTTTCTACTGTCTGGTTTGTATTTTACAAACTAAGTAGAAATGAAGATACTGATTAACCAATTAAGTATATAGAAAGTAGTTTATTAAAAACATTAATAAAGACACTGTAATTGTGAGACAATCTTCCCATACCTGCCACACAGGCAGCCGGCGAAGCGTTCAGCATAATTGTTCTGTTTTTAAACCTGCGACCGCTAATGACACCTGACCCAGAGAGGATGAGAAGATGCTGGTACATAATCCCCAGTAGTCACGCGGCACTGGTCCTGTCCGACCCACCGTTGCGTGTCACCTCGGCAGAGCCAGATGGGCGGTCAATGAAATAGACTTCCTGACAAGCCGGCATGGTGATGTCACTTCCTGGATGTCCCTTCCTCCTCCAGGGTATACCCCAGTTTTGTGCCTTGTACTGCCTGGGATGGGATACAGCTTCCCCCACAACCCTGACCAGGATAGATGGTTAGTGTATGGGTGGACGGAAGCTCAGTCACTATTTCATTTAAACATAGCACTGTCACAGACTTAGCATCCTGTGAATGCAAGTTGCCATTATTAGGATTTTCTGGGCTGCTCTTGGTACCCTTAATTCTAATTAAAAATCATACAGCCATTTGTTCCCATGCTACACAACAATCGAATAGCAATAATTTTTTTTAATAATTAATGACTAATTGCCACAGCTCTATTTACAAAGCAAATACATTGGAATTAAATTTAGAGTTTTCTATAACAGAAGGGCCACTCCTGAGTTATTAACAATGGATTTATAAAATATTAGTTTCCCCTCCAGGCTGTTCTCTAAATCCCAGCAAATAAATACAGTCTATTGCAGTAATTTACAGTATCGTTTAACATTATGCCAGAACCTCTGTTATTAATGCTTCCGGGGGAGCAGATATCACAGCCGCCAGATTTAAAGCCCTGACCCCTTACCGCTAACTTGACATGGGGCCACGACAGTTTAAACTGCTTCTGCAACAAAAAAAAACCGGTTGCGAAAATGCGCTTTTCGGTGGGGCCGCCGAACTTTGGGGGCCCGCTATTGGTCACAAACAGTCACTACACTCTGTTTATAGTAAACAGGCAGCTACACCATGCAGTGAAAATCTTACTCTGCACGTCCAACGGTAATTTAAAATTAAACACAAAACAGAAGTATAAATTAAGATGTTTCAATAAGGCAATACATGTAATAAATGTAGTGCAATGTAATGGGAAAAGAAAAAAAAGCTTGCGGATTGGTAAATGGGGAGCTGTTTACGTGCGGCCGGTGTCGAGGTGTTTCGATGCCAAGCCTTTTGTGGTCGGCAGCCCCTCTCTTCCCTTACGAGTGCCCTCCATGGCAAGAGTCCTGCAGCTCTTGGCACCAGGAGACGCGCTCCCATTAATCCCGCGTCCCCAGAGCCTGGCGGATCCGAGTCTCCTCCAGAGCAATCTTACCGACTGGCTTACTGCCTGCATGCCCGAAAATGTCTTCCCTTAAAAATCAGCGACAAGAGAGTGTCCCTGCGTGAACCGAGCTACCCAAACCTCCGTTTCTCTTTCATCATCCCCGGGACAAGGTTGTGTCAAACTACGGGGCGGGGGACATATTGATTTTAATGAAAGATGTCAGAATATTGGGCTGTGTATTTCAGCTTCCGTATTCACAGTGCGAAGTGTGAAGGCTCTGTATTAGCATGGGGGGATTTTCCGTATCGCTCTTCTTTTAAGACTGACACTTTGACCAGTATTTCCCCGGGAAAAAAAAGCATGGATGATCGCATGGGTGGGTTAATGTTTTGATACCGGATTCTAAACTGAAACCCTTCCTTAGGAGGAGGATCTGTGCAAGTTTTAAATTGGCATAAACCTAAATCAAGCATAGCCACACAGCAGTGTGATGTCTGTGTGGGGAGGACACCGTTCAGCTGTAGGACGGCGTCTGCAGCCATGGCGGACCTGCTTCACAGACTTTTTATTTTTTTTAATACCCGAATTTTTAAAACTTTAGTCGTATAAGAATATCTTTGCTATTTAATTCATCTCCGTATGACTGTCATTTGTTAGGGCTGGATAGCCGGTTCGATGTTCGTAACTGCAAGATTAAATGTGTCGATCTGCTTCTACCGCCGATCAGTCCGCTAAAACCTAACAGCGGAAAGCAACTGAAAGCATCAAGATATTCCCCGTTTTATATAAATATCACCCCGGCACGATTCTTTAAACATATTTAAGCTGATGTGCCGTGTTTCCTCGTTTACTTTTCATACATGATCGACGACAGTCAGTCACCGCAGTAAACAGGCACACGTGTCGAGGTGGTAAAATGACCAATCACAAGTGTCGGTTTGTCAAATGGACCAAGCGCACGTGGTGTTAAAATAACATCCCGTCCTTCGCAAATATTGAGAACTCGATTTCGATCCTCCCATCGGACGTGACAGCCCCGTCTTTCTTCGCTGTTCATCAAAGATGTAATAAAATGTTTCATTTCACAGACGTGTCAGCGGGGCATTTCCCTCTCCTTCCTTCTTTGTGAGATCATTAAAGGACGGGGGCTCGCTTTACACATGTGGGTCATTGGGATGGGATGCTCTGGCAGACCTGTGATTAATATTGGTGTGGGGAGTCAGTCAGGCACCAAGGAGGGGGGATGAAAGAAGGACTCTGTTCTTGCCGTCAGCTGGACGCCCTGTACTCCTGGTCTGGCGGCACAGGGAGACTTTAGCGTTCTTACACTGGGTGTTTTATTGCTACCGAGTCCAATGGTTTATGCACCAATATTCAGATCTATAATCTCTATGTTTATAAGGCTGTTAGGAATTTATTAGAATATGTCTCCATAAATGAATAAACATAGACAAACATGTTTGTACTCACATAATTATGGGAACTGCCCATTCATTTCTATGGGGAAAACTCTAATCCCAACATGACGACCTTACCCCCCTAGCCATTCCTAACCTTAACCATAAGCAACTAAACAAAATAGGAGACTTTTGGCATTTTTACTTTTTTGATTGGATTCACAAATCTTTCTGGGGACCTGAAAAATGTTCCCCAGAACGTCAAAATAACAGGTTTTTATTACATTGTGGGGGACATTTTGTCCTCACAATGTAACATAAAAATGATCCACACATACACACTTAACATACCTATCTACAGTAAATGGAGACCTTCCATTCATTTCTATGGGAAAAACCCTAATCCAAATTACAACACCCTTATCCCCAACCCAGCCCTAACCTTAAACTTAAGTAACCAAACAAAATACAAGACTTTTGGCATTTTTCCATTTTTGATTGGATTCACAGGTTATTCAAATTGAGGTCATTCAATTGGGGACCTGAAAAATGTCCCCAAAAATAAAGAAGTTTTAGGTTTTACCACACATTTTGGTCCACAAACATGATCTATGCAAATCCACACAAACACATAAAAAAAAAATCTGCATTTGTAAATCCTGGTTTAATCCTGGTTCTGCTGGCAGAGGCTACACTGAGTGGCAGGATGATTCCAGGCTCACAAGTCCACAATACACAAGAACAGGGTGAAGCAGGAGACACTGGAAACTACCAGAAACCAGTCAGGTAGAGGGCAGAAGCAACTTTGTGATGGTAGAGATGACTGTCAACTGACAACATGTCATGAATCAGGGGATGACATCAGGTGACCTTCAAAAGGAATGGGAAACATTAAGTGCAGGTGTGAAGTGCACTGCTAGGACAGTTCATATCAGGCTCCTAGAAGCAGGACTGAAGTCCCATAAAGCAGGGAAGAAGCCCTTCATTAATGAGAAACAGGGAAGAACCAGGCTGAAGTTCACAAAAAAAAATAAAAACCATAAATTGAGAAATGTGTGAAACAAAAAACTTTGCGGTGATCTCTTAATTTTTTCCAGAGATGTAAATACTGTGTGTGTGTTTGTGTGTGTGTGTGTGATAATGTTTATATTACGTTGCGGGGACCAAATGTTCCCTCCAATGTAATAAAAACCTGTTATTTTGATGTTGTGGGGACCATTTTTCACGTCCCCGCAAAGATCTGTGAATGCAATCAAAAAACTGAAAATGCCAAAAATCTCATATTTAGTTTGGTTACTTATGGTGAAGGTTAGGGTGGGGTAGGGGTTAATGTCGTCATGTTGGGATTAGAGTTTTCCCCATAGAAATGAATGGAGAGTCCCCACAAAGACATAATTATAAACCTGTTTGTGTGTGTCTCTGTGTGTGTATATTTTGGTCACAGAGAGACAAAACATCTGGGAAATTTAGGCTGGTTGATTACTTTTAATAGCTGTGCTAATGATATTGTCCCTCTCATCTATTGTCAACAATTACCTGGATGATTAATTCATTATTGATTGACAAATATATTTTTCTTAAATTATTGCACACCTAATCTTGCCACTTAAAGCTGTTATGATAATTAGGCAGTTAGTTACCTTTTAAATTATCTTTTAAATTCATATATTGATTGATATATTCATTTTGTGAATATTGGATGCTCAAAGTAATTTATATATTTAAAAAAAACAAAAGATTGCACCAAAAAGTGTTGTGTAAAATATTCAATAATAGCACCAACAACAATTTACTTTTTATCCACTGTAATCACCCCCCCCCCCCCATGTTTGGGAACAATATTAACAAAGTGGTGATGAACAATCATGGAAAAATTAGCTATAAATAATTAAATAGAAATTGATGACACTTTATTAAGTCTGAATTATAATTTTTAAGCAAAAAATTTAATCTGAGATTTTCAAAGTCCCCCTTGTCTAGATCTGTTCTGCAGTCCATTCTTAAAAATTCACAGTTAACACCACAGTTGATATTTTTAACTAATACAAGAAAGAAGTTAACCAGAGTGTCAATATTCTGTAGTCTAGCAGAAGCTTTGGTGACTGATGGCCATTCAAGTGAAACGATCAGTTAGTAAACATTAGTGCTAAACCAGTACTACGAAGCGGGGTTACTGGCTTATCGGGGTAACTTGTCGGATTTAAGGTACCACAGTTTAAACGGACTTCATATTTGTTCATTTACATTTTGCCCAGACTACCTTAAATCCGACAAGTTACCCCGATAAGCCAGTAACCCCGCTTCGTAGTACAGGCCACAGGAGTAAATGTTAGTTCAGGCCAAACTGAGCAAAGCCCCGATCCCAAGTGTTTCTGGACCTGCGTTTTAACATTTTCGATACGGATCTGTGAATATGAAATATCACAGTGAATTCCATCACTCACTGTTAATGCAGAAGTCGAGATGTGAGATGTGTGTGCACATTCTGTCTAGCCAATTGATTCAGAGCAGTCCAGCCCACCCTCACTTCCACACAGGTGAGATCACTGGAAAAAAAAAAACAGGCATGTCAGAATGTTACAAGTTCAGCATTACAGTCCATTTCCTTCAGCTACTCAAAACCGTGCATGTTATCTTGGGAGATAAATTCAGTTTTGATGACATTACATGCATTTGTTGTTGTGCTTGAAGGCAGTGACTTGTATATTACATTAGACAAAAGAACCTTCTAAATAAATAAATGTCAATATGAGAATCAGACTGGAAAACTGAAAGGTCAGATCACAGGTGTTTTTTGTACCTGTCTGTGCGCCTGTACAAGTTCTTCCAACACTGTGGTGAAATTTGCACCTACTGGGACATTAAAAGCTGAAGAAATACAGCTGGAGACTTTCCCATGAGGCACAATGCCTCTTTTTGAAGTTAGTCAGCCTTTTTTTGGAAATAAATAAATAAATAAACACGCCAAACTTTCTTATAATCCGTTTTCATGAGTTTCATTTATTACCAACTTTCTTTGAGTTTTGTGGTGCTGGAATTAGAAATCATATATTGCATTCATGTGTGACTTGATGTACTCACAATGATAGGTAAAGGAGTGTGTGTGTGTGTGTGTGTGTGTGTGTGTGTGTGTGTGTGTGTGTGTGGATAATGTTTATATTACGTTGCGGGGACCAAATGTTCCAAATGTGTGTGTGCGGGCACTGTGCATGTGCTTCTATTATCTGGGGGGAGGTGGGGGGGGGGAGGGGGGGGCAGGCTCACACCTGCACTGTACCGATAAAAGGCTGCTGCTGCTGGCAGTACAACCCCCCCCCCCATGTCTCTGGGCGGACAGTGAGAACAGCAGTAGGGGCAACTCTCTCCTGTGTGATGAACAGTGCCCCCAACTGGCAGAACAGCAGTCTTACATTTTAACAGCAAATTAATGGCACAAACTCAAACATATAAAACTGACAATGTTGTGTTCATGAGTGAGCACAAGTCTTCGCAAAAATGTATAATTTTTGTTTATTTGCCTTCCAATTGATTTAGACACAGCAGCAGAATGTTCTTATTGATGTCATATTTCAATGTAACGTTATATTTAGGTTATATTTAAATGGAAAGCACTGACAATTTCAAGTGATTAAATCAATGCTCCAAACTGCACTCAAAGCTGAATGAAGAGCGAGAGAATTCAAATTTACAAATTCACATGTGGCACAATGTGGTGGGTTGGCGCCCCATCCGGGGTTGTTCCCTGCCTTGCACCCGTAGC